AGTGACAACAAAGAGAAGGAAAATGACCATGAAGAGACACAAAATGGCTTTAAAGAGACTTAAACTGACATAAAGAAGCATAAACCAACCACAAAGACACAAAAATGAATACAAAAAGACAGACTGATCACAAAGACATACAAAATAACCACAAGGAATCCATAATGTCAACAAAAACTCAGAAAGACTGAAATCAATCACAGGCACAAAAGGATCACAGAAACACACATTGAGCAGAATTAACTACAAAAGTATGCAAAAGGATCATAAAGAAACTCAAATGTCTGACTCGTAGCGCAACAAACAACAAAGACACAAACTGGCTAAATAGGAGACACAAAAAAATTGACAGGCCCAAGGAAACCACAAGGACACTTTTCAACAAAGACTTAGATTGACCACAGAAAGACAGGAACCTGCCACTAAGTAACACAAAAACACTCACGTTGATCAGAATCAACAGCAAAAGTGTACTAGATCATCACAAAGGCTCAAACTCACTCAAAGAGATAAAACCACCACAAAGACACAAAAATGATTATAAAAGACACAAATTGAGACACGGAGACATAACATAACCACAAGAGCCTAACACAAAATACACATATATCACCATATAACTGACCAGTCTGCAATCCATGTGTGTCTTTTTATTATATTTCAAGATTTTTCTGATCAATCCTATTTGCATATTGCTTTGAATTTAGCTGTACATTGGTTTACTATCATTTGAACACACATACTATCTCTTACCAGAAATTTCAGCCTTTGACCTCTTTCATTGCACAACAGATTTGCTGCTCTTCGGAAATCCTTGGTCATATACTTTTATTAGGTGAGTGCATGATCACTACCATAAACACTTAGGGTTTATATTCAGGATTCACAGTACATTTGAAAGGCAACTTTAAAGCCAAGCTGGACCTGTTTTCAAGATGCAATGACCTCGAAGTAGTTTACTGAAGAGTCACTCACTTTAAACCTCATGGTGGATAATTTATTAAACAGAAAGTTATGATGCAATCTAAAATGAAAACTGACTTCTCATTACAATTTCACAATGTCCTACTTTACCTTTCAAGTAAATTTCACCGTGATTTAACAGATTTCCTCTATCAAAATTGGAATAATAAACAGGGTGACTGATTTTGAGGTATTTGTACCGAACTTAAGTATTTTATAACTTTCTACCTCTTTTTCCCAAAACACATCTGAGGCAAACTACTGTAATTTCTACTTCAGTGCATTAGCATGAACGCTGTAGCCAACAGTCATTACACAGATAAAATCAATATGCATATTAGGGGTGTAAAGATTCACCAATCGATTTTAACTTTAACGATATGGATACATCGGTCGGCGGGCCTCTGGATCGATTCTATCTACTGAGTAGAGGTCGATGTCACTTGTAGTTACTAATCGGTTGATTAGAGTGCTGACAGGCCGCTCCAGTCTCGTGACAATGTCACTGTGACGAGATTAAGGTTCACTGAACGTGTAGCGGAGGAAACGCTGTCACTGCCTAGTAGGGTGCTGGCTCAGGGTTAAAGTTCACAGCAGGAGTGCTGGCCAGAGCACTGCTTGAAGCCGTTCAGAGTGGTGAGGGAGGTAAATAAAGACGGAGATGCTGGTTTAGTGTCGTCTTCTTCCTTTACTGACAATCTTGAACAGCATGGGTGTGTTTGTGGGTGTTTGTGGTTTCCCTGTCATTCACGCACACATATCTATATGGAATTCACGGGCCTACAAATTGGCCGCTCCCTCCGACCAGCGCATACACACACACACACACACACACACACACCATCCTGCTATGTGACGTGACCCACCTCACAGCCACTCCATGAACTGGCCCGCCCACTAAGGCAATTATCCATAAACACCAGTAACTTTGGAAAAGGAAAGGCACCACATCAGCAACAGTGCTATACACTACAGCTTAACTTTGGGGCCTTTTCTACAGAACGTGTTTGCTACCAACAACAAATACACAACAGCATGGCCGATAGCACCGGTATTCCACTTTAACTGGCGATGCTTACTGTATTTACGCTTCAGATGTTCGCAGATTCGTCCTGACCACACCTGTCTGTGTGTGAAGACAAAGACACTAAATGAAGATTACTCATAAATAAAGTCTACATCCATATCTATATCATCTACAGACAGCAAAATGAAACGTGCTGACCAAAATAAAAAACCTATTTTTCAAGTTCGATGAGAGGATTCGAAACTATGCAGCAGCGGTAAAATAAATGAATGAATGAATGAATGAATGAATGAATGAATGAAAAATACGAGTTCAGCGTTTTACTCATTGTGCCACCTATTAGGATCCCTTTATATTCCCATACATCTTTTCCAATCTGTCAGGTGTTTACAGGGCTCCAGACTACAACCATTCTGGTCGCATTCGTGCGAGTGCATGATGATCATGAAGCTGTTTTGGTGTCACTGTAACTGGCGCAGGCAGCTACTGTGTTAACCACAGTGGTGGAAAGCAGCACGGTTATGACTTCGGTGGACTGCGGTATTCACACTTAAAAATTAGGCCATCTCGTGAAACGTGGAGCGCACCCGCATTCGCTGTTTTCTATGAGCTTAACAGCGCATGTAGGTGCGCTCCACATTGAAAATAAAAAATAAAAATACACGGTTTCATCTCGGACAAATCTGACACTGCCCCAGTTTAACTATTTTCAAAGTATTTTTCGGTCACACCTGTCTGAGCACCGCGGCCACCAAGCAGCAGCTACCACAGCCTGCAATGTGGGGCGTTTAGGGAACATCTGTAAATCGTAGAGCAGATGTTCAACAAGTGACGTGTTCGTGCCTGTGACAAAGTGGGAGGCGCGACCAAATAAGAAAGTTGCTACCAGTGAAAAAGTTAGTCTGGAGCTCTGGTTTAACACCTGGTGATTATTCAGGAAACACACCCAGACCAACTGGTAATAGTCACAACTTAACACACAAAACATATTGTCTGACCAAGCAAAACCCACAATAAAGAAGCACATTGTGTTGTGTGTTAGTCTGTGGATTCAGTGTCAGAGATACAGAGCAGAAGCTGAAGCTTAACTTGGGTTTGTTCAGCGAAACCCACAGCAGCCTCACACCACGACGACACGCAGCATAGCATTGGTTTGGTTTGATAAAATGCATCAGAACAAACTGAGGCCACATTGAATGTTTTCAGTTTGCAAAGTTTCTGGATTGCAATATACTGAAGGGGTTGATGTGAATATCTTTTCATATTTAATGCAGCAACAGTCTGTCTTGTCTGCGTATTCAAAAAATAAATACAATGACATTGTTCTGACCTGATCGATCTTTAATTTCTTTCACCACACGCATAGATTCAAGCTGCATCAAATCGCATTGTAATGTCTTAAAATGTTCCGTTAGTGAATTGTATTATAACCCATGTATCTACATTCGTATCGGATCCCCTCTTAAGGTAGAGATGCATACCCCTAATGCATATGAAATCATTTTTATACCCCTGTGACCACCATTATCTCCTATCTTTGCAGCTCTTGGTGAAGCCTTGGTGTGTTTTCTTCTTCAGGCTCTCTGCACTGTTTTGCTAATTCCACACCTGTTCGTTAAATACCAAGATGGATGTCTTCTCATAATATCACAATCCTCTCCTTTTAGGCCTTGTTGAGCAATATTTTAGTAGGAATTACCTGTTATGTACCCATCCAACAACTCTACCTGCTTTGTCCTATTAAGAGTTAAAGGGGGGCTGGGGCCTGACTCAGCTGACACTGTGTTGAGGTGGACAAACACAACGAGACAATCATGCACACTCACAACTACAGCCAGTTAAGAATCACTAATAATCCTAACATGCATGTCCTTGGACTGTGAGAGAAAGACAGACACCCAGAGAAAATGGTGATGGATTTGTTGTATGCAGAGATCTCCTCATAAAGTCCTTTTAGTCTATATCTCAGTATGAACCCCTTATTTCTCACAGCAAGCGAAATGATCCGTCAGTATAATAAGAGTATCCCAGTTCCTTTTCAATGCAAATCAGTTGGTTTTCTAATATCAGGTTTCCCTTTTCAGAATTCTAGTGCAAAGACAGGCTGAACATGTGTGCTTTCTAGACAGAGGGACCTTTAAGACAATTTCACGTAAATCAGAAACATTTGAAATAGTCCGACAACTGTCTTACTTCTGAAGAGCAAATGAAGAAACTGAAGTCGTTTCAAGTACTTCCATCTCAATCAAGTACAACTGTAAGCTACTGCTTACACATTGATGCATCTGTGTTCAGATAATTCTCTAATATTGTAATCTAAACTGCTTAACACAATGAAATAGGCCATTGTACAGTCGTTTTAATATGGATGTTTTAACATTCAGGTCATAACACATCTGCACTTATCTCTAACATGCTAATATTTATCTCGTCTTTATTTGTTTTATTCAGTTTGAATTATTCTATAAATCAGTGTGCACTTCATTCAACTTGTCTGTACTGTTTTTAATTGAATTTTTATTAAATGTTTGCTTTCATTTTTTAACATTTTGCCTGTAAAGCATCTTGAATTGCCTCTGTGTATAATAAGATGCTTTATAAATAACCTTGATTGATTGTAATTAAGTACTTTGGAGTCAAGCCATACACATTACAGCATGTGGCTATGTCAATTATTTATATTCATCAAAACAAAATTACTTCAGATAAACAAGTTTACTCCAACAAGCACACAATTTTTGACCAGTGCCATCTATTTTGGTAACAGAGAATGCAAGACGATAAAACGCAGAACTAATGAGGCTAGAGTGTGTACATTTTACATGACTATACCTGCCATATCCAGTGACTAAAAAGGAGCTCCATACAACTTAGAGCCAGTATTGGAAATGTTAAACAGTACTGGAATTTAAAACGTATTAGGATAAAAGGAAATATCCATGCATGCAACCATACAATGGGCCTACGTTATGCTTCAGTCTGGATCTGCAGGAAACACAAATTAGGACTTCTAATCCAACCATGGGAGGGTGTTGGGTGCTCTGAAACTTGGACCAAGGTTGTTTGTGGGCCTTGTCTCTTGTCTGCAGAGAGAAAAACAAAAATCACCATTGAAGAGGAAATATACAAAAACAAGAGGTGACAGCTGAGGAAGACTCACAGAGAAGGCCACTTACTGTTGATCCATGAGCGTGTTGACTCCCCACACGAATGGAGCAGCATAATCGTCGGTCTCTGCAAGGCAAAGTGCTCTGTTGTCTTTACAAACACAGCATTGAAAATAAAAAAAGTGTTGCAAGTCTAATAATGTAAGAAACTCTCAAACTCAAGACCTAACTGTTACTTTAAGGGAATAGTTGTGCCACAGGATACTGTTTGCTTTCCACAAAGACTAGAAAAAGAGGGAAAGAACACCTATCTGCCATCATCATAACCTCTTATATTGTGTTTGTTTAATCTGTGCAAAAACCAACAGTTGTGGTTGTCAATCATACCTTGGTCCCAATCCTCAGTCCTAATCGGGTTCACCCAAGTACTGACTGGAACTTCCCATTTACCATTTCCATCTGTGCTTGCAGCTGCAGAAAGAACAAACTCTTTCAAACACTGCAAAACACACAACTCTGAATCTGCAGATGAAGAAAGAGACAATCAAATGATAAGCTCACCGTCCTCAGTGTAAACGCGCATTCGGTTCTCACAGGTCTCAGTGTGGTGTGCCAGCTCATGCTTGTGGACCAGGTGGCGAGCATTATAAGGGCAGGTCTTCAGCTCCCTGGCCAGTTTTGGATGATTCTGCATCAGTGAGAAACGAGGACAACAGTTCAACATACACTCAGTCATTGAAAGATTTGGAAAAGAAAAAAACGGCACTTATTCATCCCCTTACATGTTCGAAAGTCAGTAAAGATGCTGGAGTTCACCTGTGTAAAAAAATTCTATCAAATAGCAATGGGTTACTGCCATTTTCCCCTGCAACATCTGTAAGAAGTAAATTATCTGTAGAGTTTGTCCAGTGTTGTACATACTGATTTTAGGGTGTTTTCTTAAAATAAATGATCAAATAAATATAACCCCTGTGTCTTTTTGTAGTTATGATTTATTGTTGTGCTGCAAAAAAGACATTTTTGAATTCCCTTTACTTCTAGAGATGGTTGCACTGTTTCCATAGATGTTCATGTCTTTACTTGGTAGTGCAAAATGAGGATAAAAAGAGAAGTAATGGTTGCCAATATGACATGATTACTGCAGCACACACAAATTCTAGCAAGTGTAGAGAATTAGACCAGCTTAACACCCTGATCCATCCATCCATCATCTATACAACGCTTAATCCTCACTAGGGTCGTGGGGGGCTGGAGTCTATCCCAGCTGCCTCAGGGTGAAGGCAGGGGACACCATGGACAGGTTGCCAGTCTATCACAGGGCTACACTTAGAGACAGACAACCAAGCACATTCACGTTCAAACCTACGGACAATTTAGAATCACCAGTTAACCTCAACATGTTGTTGGACCTTGTGGGAGGAAGCCGGAGAACCTGGAGAGAACCCACGCTGCACAGGGAGAACATGCAAACTCCCTGGGTGTCCTCACCAGGATGCGAACCAGCAACCCTCTTGCGGCAACGATGCTAACCCCCGCAACACCTTGTAGCTCTTAACACCCTGATGAAGGTTAGAATCTTCAGGGTTTGTTCAAACTGTTCAGGAGACGCTGATTCAACTTTATCAGATCATTCTGGAGGATGAAGTTTGTCATACTGTTGAACTGCATTGGACTACAATGAAGTATTTCTAATATTAAGTCTACCCTCACTGATGTGCAATGTGAACAAAATATAAAGCAGAACAGAGGACTGCTGCATTAGACTTTGATAGTTTTTACACCAGATGTACCTATATTAACTGCCAACTTTGTGTACATATTGGCACAAATTCCACCGTGAAGAAAAAAAAAACACTACTGCAGGTAGTGTGTGTCACGTGTTTGACTCACCTTTCTGCACTTTATAAGGTGGTAAGGAAAGCGGCAGGCTCGGATTTGATGGTTTTTGTCATATGGACACTGCTGAAGTTTGTCGGGATCCCATTTTATTTTCTCCTCTTTCAAAATCAGAAAAAGAACAAATTAATACATTTCAGAAATCACTATTTTAAAAAGTGATGGCAACTTCAGCTGTTTCAAATGTGAAATAATATCTTTAATTTACCATTTTCCTCTGCCTGCTCTGCTGCAGAAGCTTCTCTGCATGGACTGCTAGGGGGTCCAAATCTGATTGTCGCCATCTGTGGTTGGTATTTATTGTGGATAGACTAAACGGTTAACTGAGAAGAAATACAACTCAGGTTAACGTGGAGGCAAAAAAAAAAGAATAAATAAAAAGTTTCATGTGTTATAACCATTACAACCACTGACTTCTTAGCAGGACTCTCAAACTCTGCAGGTAAAGCAACAGGTGTGCCTCATTTTCTATCAACTACAAGCAAATATGTTTCACTCATTGGTGAAGGTTTGTGCTAAATATTGCACAAAACACGTGGAAAAACCCTCATTTAAATCAGATTTGAGTGACATAGAAAAAAGTTACATGTTTTAAATTTTGAAACTACGTTGGTTTAGGGACCATCCATAAACAAAGTTGCTGGTAGATAGTTGCTTGAAAGTGAAGGAAAGGCCACAAGCTAAAGTTATTTTTACTGTTTTTGGTCGCAGCTAAAGGCTGTTCAACGTGTGGATTGCTCAGCGCCACATCGACCTCCTTCACTCATCCCAGGCTCACAGTTTACGTCCAACTTTCATCGCTCTAACATTTAGGTCCAAGAACCGAAGAAGTACATTTGCCTAAAATTAAGCTGTGTCTAATTATTGTATAACACGTACTTTATTTACAGTAAATTAATAACTATGCATCACACCGAGAGCGCGCAGGCCCGTGTAGCGGCCAAGTTTGCTAGCAAAAAGGTTAGCACGTCGCCTCGTCAGCTAAACTACTTCATTTATATTATCTGGAACAACTCGGCAAACAAGCTTTTTTTTTTAAAGACGTCCGCACTAATTTTACAAAATTTATAGTAAGAGCTTTAAATGCAGTCTGGAAAAAAAGTGCAATGTAACCAAGAAAATGACGCTTTAAAGACCTTTGCTGCTCGTGCGAGCTCTGCTCGAGGCTGCGGAAGATGAACTTGTGCCCCGCCCCCTGCTGCTTTGATCCCGGTACGAAGTCACATGACTCTACGAGCGCACAAAAACAGAATGTCTGAATTAAAACCTCTGAAAATGAATTCATGTATCAATAGCTACTGAGGCTCAAACGTACCCTCCCTGACAATGTTTATAAAATGGGCACAAAAAGCATCTGAAGATGTAAAATAGCATCAGGCAAAAAAGCAAATTATCCTCCTGTGTGATAGGCTGTGTATTGATGGAAAAGTATCCAATTCATTTGTTCCTAAGCAAAAGTACAACAAACTTGACAACTGAAAGGAAAATGCTTGAATAAAGGGAACAAAAATATTTGCAATAAATTACACCAAAAATGTTCAAAAGTGTAAGAGCTCACTATCCAGAAAAATTAACATCAAATTCATATTAATATTAGAATGGATCATTATCATTGATGTGTTAAAAGGTTAACAATACTTAAATGCAGCGGCTGGTCAGGGTGAAGCAAATATCAACATTTTTTTCTTGTGATGTAGTCTATTTGTTGTCTAACTGATGGCAAAGAGAAGTACATTTATCATGAAGGAACACAAAATGAGCAGAAGTGCTAAAATCAACAACAACAAAAATACACAACAGGACCACAGGGACTGAAATCAGCAACAAAAAGAAACAAAATGACCACAGAGACTGAAATTAAGCAAAACAGACTGAATTTGTCTACAAAAAATACACAGAAGGACCACAAAGACTCAAACTGATGACAAAGAGAAATAAATTCACCACAGGGGGAGACACAAAATGATTACAACGAGAGTAACAACTACACACTACACACAAAAAGATCACAAGCATTTAAATTGGCTATAAACAGACACCAAAACTGACCACCAAGAGACTTAAATCAATAACGAAAGCATATAAAGGGACCATGACAACTCACTTAAATGAGGCAGAAAGCAACCACAAAGAGGCAACATCAAAAAAACAAAAAAAAAAAAACAAAACTACAGATGGCCCCACACAGACTGAAATTGGCCACAAAGAGATTCAATCTGGGTGCCTTGCTCCAAAGTAGAGTGGTTTGCTGAGGAACCTTTTGTCTCACAATCCTTCCAAGAAATTGGAGTTTTGGTAAGGCTTTCCTGGCCAAATAAATAAATGTTAAAAATAGAACATAACCATATGTTGATATAGTAGCAATATTTTCTATTGGTAATCTCAAAATATTCAATATAAATTATATGACATTTTAATCTTCTTGCAGTCGAAGGTTATTTTCATACAGAAAGAAAACAACAACAACAAAAAAACACCTGTCCTCAGCTTTTAAAGCATTACGGTAACGCCTGCCAGCTTTGTGTATATTACCGTCATTACGGTAACGGCGCTGTGTATCCAACATGGCGTTGTCCTGTTCGAGTCTGTGTAGCCAGCTGTCTTTGATCCGACTGTGTGGGTTCAGGACAAACAGAATAACACATGGACTTTATTCTGCCTACGTGCCCTGTCAGTCCAGGTACGTCTGAGGGCCTTTTAAGCTCAGAAGTTCAGGATTTGTCACTTTGTTCTAGTCGCTAAATCTGTTGGACACCTGCTAAGCTAGCTGCCTGTCCTGACCGCTTGATTAGGAACATATAAATACACCACAAAATTGCTGTTGTTCACTTTATATTTTAGTTATGGCGCTTATCCGACACTTCATTTGTACATCACACACCAGCATTAAACTAGCCACATTATTGTGTTTTCTTTTCTAGATAGTATCTTACACGAGGGCGTTCAGATGGAGTGATGAATTGCATTTTATTGCAGCATTTGATATTATGTCTTCTGCTTCACAGGTTGCCTCTGTGCAGACACTACACATCGTCCAAAGTCAGACGAGGTATTGGTCGATATGTTGCCACTAGGCTCCAGTGGGCAAATGAAAAATATGAAGGCTTCCTCAAAAGGCGATTTCCTCGCTTCTTCCTGCTCTACCACACCTTTGTGGAAGGTAAATTCTCTGGTGACTCACCTCTGAGATCTCCAAAACTCTGCTGACATCGAGTACACTGTGCGTTTATTGTATGATGGACAGTGTTTCAGGTTTATCCGGTTTCAGTGGTTATTATTATGCATCATAGTTGTGTGTAAAAGTCGGCACCAAACTTACAACAATTGAGAATTCGTTAAAACAAAAAACAAAAAAACCTTGTAACTGCTTTTGTTAATTGCGGTTTATTTACTCAACCATAACAGGCATTTTTTCTTCATCATCTAGGTAACACACTCATTGCCTCTACTATATGTGGACATATAATGCTTTATGTTATGTTTAGTCACACCTGTATTCTGAGCCAGGAATATGTTGTTGTTGAGTATCAATGGGAGCTTTCTGCAAGTGTTATTGGACTGTCACTTTTTATTTCATGATCTTAAAGAAATTGAAAAAAAAAAAAAGTTACTGTGAAATGTGCAAATGTTAGATTTTTTTTTAAAACATACAAGTACAATGAAATTATTTAATGATTTTGTGGCACCTCACACCCTATAAAAGCTCAGATGTTTACGACTTAAGAACAGAATGCCTCATGAGCGGTGGTTGGTCGTGCTCCTGGCTGCCAGGCAGCATGGACTGAACAAACATTTTTACCATTTTAACCAGTATTGTTTTTACTGACTCATTCCAGGATTCAAGCTACTGTTCCGAGATGCCAAAGATGTGAAGAGGATAAAAGCAAAAATGTTTTTTGATGGGGTGAAATTCCAGGATTTGCCATACAGGGAGATGGAGACACTCAGACAGGTGGGTCTCTTTACTGAATGAGGCTCACTATGCTTATACATGCATACAAACAGCGGGGTACTTGGCACATTTTAGAAGTGGGAAGTAACTGTCTTAAGTTATTAGTCTGGTTAATAAACATCCCTGTTGGGTTGGCAATCATATCTGAATTTATAATGCTTCTTTTCAGAAGTAAGAACCTTCACTCTGTTTATTTTTAAGAAACCACATATTCAGAATACTGTCACATTTACAACCACAGATTGAGTCAAAAAGCTCTGATAGTTGACTTCTTTTAAAACAAAGCAAGATGATTGAGGTGTAGATTTGCTTCTTGTTGATCTGTTTCCGTAGCAGTCTTTTGTGGTGAAGAAGCCTTTAAGGAAAGCTGTCAGTTCACCAGTTGATCGACATTTCTGTTTCACCTGCTGCCGTGAGTTGTGGGCAGTTGATCATGAATCAGGCTGCCGAACTGAGTTTCCTCCACTGGGTCTGTGGACACTCTGGGACAGGCTAAGGAGCTCCAACATTAGGAGGGAGCTCAGAGTTAAACACTGCTTTTCCACACTGAAAAAGCCATCTGAGGTGGTTTGGCCATTTGACTAGGATGTCACCAGGACTAGGCAGTTATTCTTGGCATGTGTGGCAGATCCAGATTATGCTGGAGGGCTCATATTTCCCTCCTGGCCTGGGAATGCCTTGGGATGCCTCAGGATGAGCTGCAGAATGTGGTCAGCAGCTGGGACACTTCTCCATAAATGTCTCCATAAATTTATAGAATAGAATTCCTTTATTGTCATTGCACAAACAAAATTCAGCAGCAATCCTGTTAGTGCATTCACACAATCAGACTTTTTTTTTTTTAAGTACAATAAGAAATATGCAAATAATGACAAATAACTAGCAGTGGATAGTGACATAATGATGTTGTAAAATTTCTTCAGACACTGTGAGCAGGTATTATAATCAGCGTTTTTAAATATCTTTTAGCTAATTCATCAGTCAATTTGAGACATTATTGCACTGACCTTATGACCTCACTTTATAGGAGAAAAACACCATCTCCTGCTGTGTACACTGCACTTAATATTTAACACTTTTATACCAATGCAGACTGGGTACTAGTTCTGGTTTGGAGTTGGTTCAATTGCGGAGACAGAAAAAGAGAATATTGTATTGAAATGAAGAAGGCTACAGTGAACCTGCTCAAAAAAGGCTTTCTTAGTTAAACAAATATGAGGATTTGAAAAGACAATTGCACTAGCAATAGAATATTATTTTATATGTGAAGAATGTTGCCCTTCATGCTACCTATGCTCCTATTTTTTATGAGTATTATACCATGAATTTACCATTAATTTGATTACATTTTATTGGTGTTTAAAACTACTTCATATCGTTTTTAGCATCTTTTAACTGTCTAGATTAGCAGTGCAGCTCCAGAGCAGGACCACATTCCACTCTCATAGATCACTGTAGATGTGTTTATCATTGGTTGGGTCAGATTAAGTACAGTTACTGTTATCCGTAAAGGATATCCTTATGGCTGTCTAGAATTTCCATTTTAAACATTGTCTGTTCTTCACTTGAGCATTGTAATGTTTGTTATTTTACAGTAGCTTCACTTTCTTGACATGTGTTTCACAGTTTCGCAGAGACGTGATCAAGGCCATTCCCCTGGTGATGATATCTATTCCTCCCTTTGCCAACTACCTGGTTTTTGTCTTGATGTGAGTTCCTTTTGAAATAACCCCCTTTTATTTCAGTTGGCCTCCTTTGATTCATATTCAGTTTCCATCACTCATTGCGTCTCTTCTCTCTCTACTAACACCTCCTCCTCATCTCCAGGTACTTTTTCCCTCGTCAGCTCCTGATCCCTCATTTCTGGACTCCCAGGCAGCAGGTAGAGTTTCGGGGAGTCTACCATTCGCTCAGGGCTCAGCACCACTGGCCGGTGCTCAAAGGGCTCGAGGATACGAGCCATCATGTCAGTAATGGTCAGCTACAGGAGCACCTAAGAAACTTGTGCACTAAGGTAAGTAAATATATAAGACATTCTTTCATGCATCCATTATCTATACATTGCCTAATCCTCACTAGGGTCGTAGGGGGGTTGGAGCCTGTCCCGGCCGACTCAGGGTGAAGGCACGGGACGCCCTGGACAGGTCACCAGTCTATCACAGGGCTACACTTAGAGACAGACAACCAAGCACACTCACATTCACACCTACGGACAATTTAGAATCACCAATTAACCTAAACATGTTTTTGGACTGTGGGAGGAAGCCGGAGAACCCGGAGAGAACCCACACTGAATGGGGAGAATGTGTAAACTCCACGCAGAAAGATCCCGGGTGTCCTAACCAGGACGTGAATCGGGGATCTTCTAGCTGTGAGGTGACGGTGCTAACCACTGAGCCACCTTGCAGCCCTAGATGTAGAACAGATTTCAATAAAAAAAATTACTCAATCCAACAGACTACTAATTCACATATTTGTCAGAGTGACATGACATAACATCAATCTTACATTTACAAGTGATTCTCAGTTCATTTTTAAATATTGTTTGTTCCCTCAGTGACTTAATGAAAGGCAGCAACTGATGTTTCCTAGCAACCAATTTACACATTTTCACCATCCTTACTAGAAGACATTTTTTCTAGTTTTAATGGCACAAACATCTTTAGTCATTACTTGTTCAAAACTGTGTGCGAGTTTCTAAAAACCTTACAAAAATAATTAATGGTGGATTTAAGATTATCTGGTGCAACCCAGTTCTGACATTGCAGAAATCACATTCAGTTGTGTTTAAATGTCTCAAGGCATAAACTGTATGAAACTCACTAACCTCATTTGCAGTTCAATTATAAATGCTTGAATGCAGGCTGAACCAGAGTTCAGTACTTCATGAAAGTGGAATAAGTTGACTTTATGTCAGCAGTGGGAAAAGTATTCAGATCCTTTACTCAAATTACAGTATTTAAACCACGCTGAGAAAATACTGCACTACAAGTAAAAGCTGTTTATTCAAAACGTTAAGTGAAAGTATGTGAGTATCATACGAGAAATGAAGTTTCAGTATGAAAAGTAGAAGTGAGCAGTTTGCGGTAAAATGGTCCCTGTGAGCATTAGATCATATGTGATGTTTTTGGATGAATATCACTGCTGTGGATGTTTACACTGAGCTAACACTACTTTATATACTCCTCCAGTGAGTGATAAGCTATTTCATAAATAGCTTATTTAGCTTCACAAGGAGAAGAATTTTCTGAAGCCTTAAAGGACCCTTGAGTTTACCACAAACATTCAAACATTTGAAGATATTCTGTTTTGACAGAATAGAATAGAATAGAATAGAATAGAATAGAATAGAATAGAATAGAATAGAATAGAACTTTATTGATCCCCTTGGTTGAAACCTCAGGGAAATTGCTGATATATTTCAGTTACTCTACAATTGACTGATATGTCAATTGTAGAGTAACTGAAGCTGTCAGCCTTTTGAGATGTAGTGGAGAAGTCAAAAGTTGCACAAAATGTAAATACTTAAAGTACTGTCGTGAATGTGCATTTTGTTTAATTCTACCTCTGCTTTCTGTGTACTTCAGGTGCAAACTGGAGCAACCCCTAGAGTGTCTGAAATCCTTGCAGTTCGAAGACTGTTTTCTGGACCCCCTCTGGGTATGAGGAGGATGACTGTCGATCACATGGTCAGTAAAACTCTTTACATTCAGCACAGACACACAGCACTCACACAGCTGACATGAAGAGCAAAAAGCTCAGTGGTGCAGTGAAACATTTTTGTGTCTTTTTGGCGAATCAGAGACACATCAGCTCCCTGCTCTTCCTGACGCCTCGCCTCCCTGGTTTCCTGATTGGCCGTCGGCTGAACAACCACGCCCTGGAGCTACTCCAGCTGGACCGAGGCCTCACCACGCTGGGCCTCCACCAGCTGGATGACGCTGAACTAAGGAGGGTCAGTCGCTCTGCACGGCTCTTCTTTTTCACCAGCCAAAAGGGTTTTACATGACGGTCATTGTATTTTCCTCTGTAGAAACCTGTATGTTGATAATGTGTGTGTATTTAAGATGTGCATTAAGGTAATTATATGAGTTAAACCTGATTATACAAAAGGATTAGGTTCACACTTCCTGCTACTCCTTTTTTATTCTGTTTTTATTACTTTTATTGAGAATTACTGTACATGTTTGCTGTTCATTCTATTGGTTCTTCTTGCTTCATTTATTAATTACATGTTTAATTAAATTTATTCTAATCCAAGCTGCGTTATAACACCTAATATCTCCGTTCTTTTCAGGCTTGTTATGTCAGGGGGCTCAACTCCGACGTTCTCGGCATTCACCAGTGTCGTGAGTGGTTGTCGCAGTGGCTTCAGGTGTCCTCCTCATTGAAAGGTATTTTCATGCGGGTGTGCTACACAGTGTTTTTGTAATTTCCTGATAAGAATCAGAATCAGCTTTGGTGGCCAAGTATGTGTACATATAACAAATTAGGTTTTTCTTTTTGCTCTCAAACGTACTCACACAAATAAAACACACGTGCATTTAAACAAAGGCAACAGATCAAACAATGACAAGTATTCAACTATGGACAGCTATAGATATGTGTAAAAGACCATTTTTAGAGTGAACCCAAGTTTATGCTAAATGTCTGCACATGTCTGTTTTGACGCTCTTGTGTAAAATATGAAGTTATAGCCAGCATCAGTGTGCAAAGTCAGCCCCTAGAGCTCACTCATTGGAAAGTTTTATCTTATTCGTTTAATCAGCACAGAAAAAATGTAGAAACAACGTATCGTGGCTAAATAAAGGGTTTTGTGTGATACCATTTATTGGCTGGATGTAAGTACAACATCAAGCTATCTGTCTCCTCAGTTTCCCAAAATCCAGGTTTCTCTAAGTTCAACAAATTATATGTAGTATGTTCATTTAATACAGCATAAAAGCAATGTTAAAAAAACAGTGATGGAAAGGAACCAGTAAGTAAATTAATTTATATTATTTACATTTTGGCTGTACTTTTCAGCTGTATTTAACTATCGTAGCCAAGTGTGCGAACAATGTAAACTACACCATGGAAGTGTCAGAAAACTGATGAATGCATTAACCAGTTAATGAATGATAACATTTTGTGGTTAGATAACATTGGCCCCAGCCTGGTATGAGTCAGTGTGCTCCCTGGCTGCTGTAGAAAGCTGCAGGTCTGATGGTGCTGAGTGAAACCAAACAAAACAGACTAAGAAACAGCCTCCTGAGTGTCATACCAGTCTGACTTGTATTGTATTGTTGTAGAAATGGAATGTCTCCCAACACATTAAAAACATTCTTAATTCGTTTTTTTTTGGGGTTTTTTTTGCCAACAAATGGCCAAAAAAAGATTACAAATAGATAGGTTTCTTGGCGCACCTTTTAGCAAAATGCAGCTGAAACAGGCACTTCTCAAGGACAGCAGATTACCAGAGTATTAAAAGGGAGTTGGAGCATGCTGCTTAATTCAAAGCCTTTTGTTGCACAAACAGACTAAAGTTTCAACACTCAGATGAAGACACCGCAGTGTTGAAACATTAGTGTTTGCACAATTTGGTGGCTTTAAATTAAGCAGCGTGCTCCAGCCCCATTTTTGTACCCTGAAAATTATTCTGAAATTCCTTAAACTAAATTATGCTTTTAAAGACCTTTTTTCCCCCAAACTTGCAGATGTTTGCAAAATGTTGCCCTATTTCTTGAACCTTGTTCTACTCACATGCATATGCTGTCTGATATTTAATGTCATCTTCACACCTCTTTTGTTTCATGTTTGCAGAGTCAGAGGTGTCACTGCTCTTGCACAGCATTGTGTTTCTCTCTGCAAACTACCCGACTAGCCTCAGCCGGCGCTGACAGGAAGCCTGAAGCAATCTGCTCGTGTGATTAAGGTCTATTTCGTGCACTGGACAGCACAACTTCCTAAGAGCTGTCAACATCTCCTTTTTGCAAAAGAACAAACATTTTATAACTGTTCTTGGCAAGATTGTTAGACTTTAGAAAATAAAAACTGTCTGAACATCTCTGCTCATTTGAAGCAACAAATACCACAAACAAGAAGCCTATGCGTTTGTAGTTACTAGAATTTGACTTGGAAAATATGGCAAATCCATTGTGTCTTTATTAGAGACATTAGTGCTGTTCTTGTGCAATTTAAACTCTCAGGAGAGAGTCTGAATATTTGCGATACACTTAACGGGGTGATGTGATAATATCATAATTACCTGCCACTGCATTTAAACTTGGTACCACTTTAAGGTGCACATGTCTCCTGCTTATGTCTAAGATATCACATCACACAGATAAAAGAAGTAGCTAAGAAACAAAGAGGATATTGTATAAACACATTTCAGCACAATATCATTGTCAATTGTTCAGACACATTCCATTCATAAAATTACATACAGGCTTATAGCTTTTATGTGGGCATGTTAATTGTTTTTACATGTTCATATCCAATGGGTACTGTATTTTCTCATGCCATTACCTCACTTTGTGCTCTGCTTTTACTTTTTTTTACTTTGACTAATGCTGGTAATGACTACATTATAGGCAACATGTGATAAAGGACTTTTGTGAGTAGTTGAGGCAAAGAAGTTTGTCAAAACAGAAATAAGTGGTTGATATCAGACAGCAGAAGATTTCATGAAGGCACCTTTTTAGAGAAAATAACTTTGTGGATCCTTAAGAGATTGGGGGATAAAAGCCCAGTGATGAGTCAACTGCAAAGACATTCAGACTGGTTTTGTGTGGTGAGAAGCTGGATTTCTTGTTTTAGGTGAATCTGATCCTCATGAACCTTTTCACTGCAGTAGCAAGGTTTCTGACAGGAGTTGTGGTGGCACTTTACTGCATTGTTTACTTTGTTTTCTTGCTTTAGAGGTGTAAAATGATTTGTATTTATCCTGGTAAGACTACGCTTAAGAACACAGTTTCTTTCAAGCCTTTTGCCTACTTCTGTGTCACAGTGCAAAAGGAACTGCACATCCCCAGTGCTGTTGACTGGTGTTGTGAAGTGTAAAATCAAACATGTCATTTGCTTCCTGTGCCTTGTACGAGAACAGGCACAATGCCTCTGAAACATAAGTTGCAAAAGTTATGTTCTGTTAATGAATCTTTATTTTCTTTTTTTTTTATAAATTATTTGGTCAACAAGTTTTGAATGTTGTGTTGTTGTGCCAATATTATATACATTGTCATGGGGCTGTGTCTAAAATAAATACCTTACTGATGCATTTATTTTCCCTGTTTGTCTGTACAGCAAACTCAGATGTAATTTAAAGTCTTTATTAAAAACTGCAAACCAGCAAAAACATAAGAACTCAACACCAAAACAGTTTCAAAGTCTCGAACAGAATAAGCAGAGTAAGAGATGTCAGATTTCCCTGGAGTCACATTCTCTGGATCTACACCTCGAGCATAAGCCTGCCATTACTTTCATGCATTTCGAGTAGCCTTCTCATCTCTTTCCACATGTTACTGTTTTTAAAATCCCCTTTGCTCTTGGAAGCATAAACATCGGTGCTAGCAACATGCACTGAAAAGTGCCAAGTTTTGTTGAAGATTTGTATTGTGCAGGAAGAAGCCCTGCTTGTCTTTTTTCAACAAACTAGCCAATTTATAGTCAATGATCGATGTTGCTATTTTGAAGTTGCTGCACCCTGGGCTTAGCATCGCCCAAGCTACTTGTGATTGCTTTGAACTATGCACTGAAATATGTATGAGCCAGAGAATTTTCTCACTCTATAGCAGAATAATGAACGTGCAGCCAGACCATTCGCAGCATTGACAAAGAGCTGGAGATGGGTCTGACTATTTGAGACAATTTCCCATAACCAAGAACATATACTGACACTACGAGCTCGCGGAACATAAATATTTTCTACCATTTTCCATTTCTATGCAATTCCAGTATTAAAGCTGAGACAATAACCTATGAAAATACAATCTAAAATCAGTAAAGGGCAAACATACATTGTACTGTGCATTAAATGGGAAACAGAAGATGAACATATTACAAGTTTCCAAATAAACCTCCCAACAACTGTGACCTGAACAGTCAGCTCCTATTCAGGTGTGAATCACATGACTTCGTAGCCGCTGCGGATGCCTCTCATCAAGCAGCAGGCAAACACGATGCCCATTATCTGAAAGGAGAGAATACTGGCATCAGGATTTCTGGGTTACAACTCCACATTTCTTTTTGCATGAACTGCTTTTAACTGACACAACATAAAATATTTTTTATCTTTATCTTGGAACATTTTTCAAAAGCCGAGCTGAGAAATGTTTAAAAGCAAGATGAAACCACCAGAAATTACATTAAAATGGAACACAATGGATAGTATTTTAAAAGTCTTGATCCATACAAATCACATTAGAGAGGGGTCTGGGTGTAATAGAGTTAATAAAAAATTAATTGATAGGAGACATTCTGCCAACCTCAACATTCAAATGACAAGATGTACCAAAAACAAAGATTGGGTTTGAATGTAAACTAAAGCCTGCAAAGATGTTCAGATGCAGCTCGTAACAGCTGGTAAGAATCAGAGGATAATCATACTTTGGGGAGACCCATGACACATGTTGCACAGGGTAAAGAAACGTATTTGCTTTCTTTATAAACATGAGTTGACCTTGAGGCCAGCACAGTTTGTTGTAGGCTACTCTGTGTGGTGCACAATAACTTTAGTGGGCTGATGATTACGAGCTCTGATTCGTTTTTGCTTTTCTGAAAGATGTTAGGAATATTTAGTGTTAGAGTAATTAAGGGTGTGTGGTAGTCCAAACAGAGATTCCTCACAAGGTGTTCTTTTAATACAACACACTTTTGCTCACTGATGTTACTTACCTGAAGGAAGGCAATAACGAGAGCTGCAACTATCACCCACAGGATGTTTTTCTGCAGTAAGGCTTCCACAGCTGAACGACAACCCTAAAGTGAAAAATACAAAGCTAACAATGAATCTGGACACTTTATTAGCTGAGATTTTCTTAGGGAAATTGCCTTGAGGTAAAACATTTACTTCATGTAAATGCTTGAGTTTTATTGACATCAGCTTTTCTTCTTTATTATCTGACGACCTTCAGACCCCAACGCTGCATGTATGAAAATAACACTGGAAAATTCTAGCACTTTCTTCCTGCAAATATTTTTTAAGTAACAGTTAATACATTTCTAGAGCTTCAAAATGCACAAGAGCTTTATAGTCTGTACTGTATATGGCATCCCCCATATTTAGAGTCTTGTCTTTAAACTCTAAATACAGTATAGTATCGAGGCGGGCAATTCTTCCCTGTGCCACTACATGAAAGTCTGGTGTTCAATGATGATGGCAAAATGCAGAAATAATAAATATGTATTATTATGAAATCAATAAGGAAGTATCTTATGTATTATATGTTGGACTGTACATAAACACATACTGTGTATATTCCTTGTTTGCCAAAAAGAAACACAGAAACAAACAATAGCCATTGTTGTTGGGGGCTGGTTATACCCCAGAAAGGTACAAGGCCATGTTTAGACAATTCCCAGTTGGACCTCCCACGTATGTGTCTACTTGAAAGAGAGCAACATTATTTCACTTGCAGAGTCATGTTTCTGTCTAATATTTACATTCCATTCAGCTCCTGTTTGATCTCGAGTAACTATGTCTCTTTAGCTTGGAAAATGTTTGACCTTTTCAGCAATGACTTGATACCTTTGTTGGTCATATGGTGCTGCCAGATCAACCAGGACTAAAATATTGAGGAATTTAACTTGTTCATTGACGTTGCAAGCATCCATCTTTGGGGGCTTACTTCTGTGTGCACTTTGGAGGCGTCCGTCATGGTCCCTTTTCCACAGTTTGCAGTGACATTCACACAGCATGAGTCAGGCACCGAGTTTCCATCAGGGGCGAAGCTCCTCCAGTCAGAAGAGTTGGTCACACCACAGCATTTCAACTGGAAACGTGAATGAGTCAAATGGAAAACAGTTATTATGAGATTTGGCGTGTACAGTAAAAGGATATAACTTGTGTCAACAGATGGTGCAAAGAATAATGTGATGTAAAGCAGGAACAGCCAACAGGATGCAGCAGTGTTATGAGAAGGTGTTGTCAGTCTAAGTAAACACAGAGCAGGGCAATTTACACTGGACTTACATCCTCCTGCAGCTTATCCACGGAGGCTCTGAATTCTTCTGTTCCATTTTTGTAATTGGTAATCATTTCAGTGAGGCTATCCTGGACGACAGTTGAGATCTACATGGGAGACACAACATAGCAGCTAAAGTTAAACCACACCCTCTGCAGGGTCCTATACCACACATTCAAATAAAATCCTATACTCACTTTGTTTCTGAAGACATAGCCGGCGATTGCTGCTGCAAGCTCAACAATGATGATCAGTGACAGAAGGACGGCAAACTGGAAAAAAGACAAATTAAACATATTCAAGTGACCTATAATAACGTCAATATTATTATTGGCTACATTATACACAAGCAATGTTTATTAATTTGTACTACAAAGTTCCATACAGCAAAGCTAATGAAACTCGTTTTTTCTTCCTTTTTATGTTATGTTTTGGCCTTTTATGCCTTTATTCCAGAGGTTAGTGAAGACAGACAGGAAAGGTAGGGAGAAGAGTGGGGAAGGACATCAGCAAATCAGCCATGGGTCAGACTCAATCCATGGTTGCTGCATCAGGGACATTCAGCCCCTATATATGGGTCACCCACTCAACCTGTTGAGCTACTGGGGCACCCATTCTTTTGTGGTTTTAACAGATGCCCTGCTGTATGAATTACCGTGGTGACCATGCAGTAGTTCTCTTTCCAGGCTCCACAGCAGCCAAAGAAGGCAATGAAGAAAATCACCACACCAATACCGATGACCACAATGGGAGCTCCTGAGGCTGATGCATCATTGATCATAAAGGTGTTGTGCACAGACACCTGAACCAGGATTCCCACAACAATCAGTGCTAGGCCACATATCTGCAGGAAAAGCAGAAGAGAGAGATTAGTTAAATGTGGAATCAATAGGATAATTCAGCTCTTTTCATGTAATAGAGGTGTATTTATTTTCTTTTGGGCTGAGCCTTGAGGGGAATTTGCTTTGTCTTATTTTATTATATGATACTTCTACTGAAGCAAAGAAAAATCAAAGAAATGTATTATTAGTAAGTGAATTTCAAATACAGTACTTAATAATATGTACCACAGTGTTGATACTTGTACTTATTATCTTGATGTTTTTGACTACAACTGAATTTAGGAAAATTGAATTGCCTTCATTAACATTTCCTGAGGTAATCTTTTTTTTTTTTCATCTTTAATCTCTCTATTTCTTCCATCCTTCTTTAATTCAGGTTCAGAAATTGTGCTAAAAATCTTAAATGTCCAGGTTTGATTGTTTATTTTAAGTTAAAATTTGGTATCTTATATGAGACACATGATTGACTTAAAAATCTGTTGGTGGTGCTGGTTGAAAAAGTCAGAGGATCCCCAAAGACAGTAGGATAAATCTTCTGAGGATCATGAATGGCTGTGTGGAATTTCCTAACAATTCATTAAAAGGTGTTGAGACATTCATATTTCTTGTCAATAAAAACCTACTGAAACTTTTAAAGATGGGAAATAAAAACTCATACATTCAGACGTGAACAAAGGAGCAGTATCTGATTCAAACACATTACACTTCATGTCAAAATATCTTCACAGTATGTGTAAGTAAAATGAGTAAGCACTCATGCTAAAAAGACAGAGGGAAGTGGAAAGTGGATGTAAAAAAGATCAGATAACATACTGTGATAGTTATGTGTCACTGTTCTGGGTGGGGTGACAAGCGCAGTTAATTCGATCTTTTACAAACATTGCGTGGCTGAACTGTTTGACCATGATCAGTTGGGATGCACTAAGTAAATATCAGAGAACTGCATTCCATTTATTTTGACTGTACTTCCTTAAAGAGCATCCAGCTCAGTCAGGGTAGATACAAACTGACATGGTGGGATTCACTCTGACGCCACAGGAAAATTGAAAGACTAGAGCTGACATTATGACATAATTGGTAAAGATAGAAATAATTTGCAGCTGTTCTGGTAATCAATTGATTGCTTTTGTCATTTTTCAAGCAAAAGAACTTTTTCTAGTAGCAATTTTTCAGTTGTGAAGATTTTCTGCGTCGTTTTGGTCAATGTGGTATTTTCTGATGTGTGAGAGGACAAACAATTTGATAAATAAAAACTTTCTTTCAGATAAATAAAGCAGATGTAATCTTTAGCCCTTCCAACCACTTAACTAGGCTGTGACTCCACGAAGTCTGAACCTTTCTTATTTTCCCTCTTAACAGGCATTAATGGACAAACTGGCTCCAGCATTAACACTTGCCATCAAACTTAAATTCCCACAATGATAAAAATTCTCCTTATCATAATAGTCAAGGGGTGTAAAAAAATATATATTAAAAACTAAAGTGAAATTGGTCCTCTTTATGTGTTATATTGTGCACAGCATACTGATAAACAGAGCTACAACAGCTAATGAACCCTATCTGTAAACTGTCACAAAATGTGAACAATATAGTTATATATATCATTACTCAGGGTCTGAGATAACTTATTAAACTTAGACATGAAACAATAAATCGATCAGTAGAGAATAAAGTGGAAACTATTTTGATAACCGAGTGATCATTTGAGTAATTTTTTTTGTAAGCGAAAATGCCAAACATTTGCTGGTTTCAGCTCCACATATATGAGATTTGCATCTTTTCTTTGGCATTCTGTATATAATATGAGTTTTGGACTTTTGGTTGGGGAAATTAAGCAATTTAAAGACACCACACTATGTTTTTGTGGTCCTCTTTCATTTTATAGAATTAATAAACAATTTAGAAAATGAATCAGTAACAAAATAAGTATATCTTGTTTTGTTTGACCACCAGTTAAAAAACAAAATTATTGCTTGTACTACAGTTTAAAAAAAAAAAAAAAAAGAAAGTCAGTAAATACTGAGAAACTTGTACCAGTAAATCTTTGGTCTTTTTTTGCTCTAAATGTAATTTACTTTCTGTTCATATGTAAATTAACTAATCATTTACAACAATTTCCCTGAGGTTTGTACTAAAGGGATCAATAAAGTTCTATTCTATTGTATTCTATTCATTCAGCTCTACCTATTATTATGTGTAATTTGTGAGTCAGAATTAAGATTATGATTTTTTTTTTAATCACCTTTACTAAACATACAAACACACAATGACAGTAAGTAACATTAGATACAGGCAAATGAATCATTAACTTTATTATAGAAGATTCTGTCCCAAGTCACGAGTATCTCTCTGTATTTACTCTCAGTGTATTCTCAATTGTAGCTTCTTTCTAAAGCTGTGTGCGGATGTGTGCGGATGTGTGTGTGTATCTATCTATCTATCTATCTATCTATCTATCTATATGTACACACACAGTTTTTTTTTACATGTACATATTGTAGTTTTTTTTATTTCTAATATATTTTGTTTTATTTACCAGGCCGATGGCGAGTTTTTGCATAAAAATTTCAGCCAAAATGTGCACCAACTAGTGTATATTCTGTTTGACAATAAAGTGGCTATTCTATTCATTCTGTGTAAAAAGCAGTAACAGTAATGTTGCTTTGAATAATAGCTCCAGTTCAAATGGGACTCACTACTATGTTTTCAAATGTTTTAAATTTTTAAAAGTAAAATTAACAGGTAGTTGTCACCACATCAGTATGAAAACCTGCTACCTCTATAGCCTTAATGTCAGGCAATCCATTAACAGCCTTGTCTGTTATGTTATCCATGTTTAGCCCTGGCTGCTGTTGAAGACCTCACCTTGTTGGCACCACCAATGTAAATATTTGAGCCTGAGTCAAATAGCTGGCTAATAGTTGACATAGGAATACATAAAGCAGTGAACAGGGCAGGCAAACAGAGCCAAGAGGCTCACATAAATCCCAGAACAGAATAAAATATAATAGAATATGATGATAAAGAAAACTGTGTCTAAAAATGACTCCTTATTTACTATACAGTGCACTACATTTATGATCTGCCCTTTTGTTTGAGTGTCTAAATCCTGAGTGTACACTTATTCACTACTGAGCGTCCTCAAAAATTCCACAATGGTTTACACTGTGGCCTCCACTTATGGATGCTTCACAACAGGCGTTTTGGATCAATAAACACTTACATCTGCTGAAAAACTATCTTACAGTATGTTGTATATTTGTATTGAACTAATATAGTCTGTTTGTTGATTCTTAATAAAAGGGGATCAAAGTAACGTGTTACCATCAATAATGAAATACCAACTGCAAATAACTGCAGTCCTAAAAAGTGCAGTGAGGGGAGGGACTCCATAACGGGGTAAAACTTTAAGTCTACCAATTCACCATACAGTGTATAAACAATCACAAAATGGTTTACAACACAGTGTAAAGCCTGTCAACAACTTTAAATCTTACTCTGTGCTCTCATCAGTGGATGGTAGTGTAGACAGTAGTGTAGATAATGAATGCCAACATAGTAATTATATAAAATATGTCTTAATAGGAGAAGAAATGGTGGCAGACAAATGCTGTGCATTAACAAATCTGTAAAATGACCTTATTTCTGCTTACACCTTCGTTCAAGTGTGCTGTTAACCATTACATGTTTATCAATGCTAAATCGAGGGACGTAACAGGTTACCGATACACTGTTCTCATTCTTTACTTCCTCTTGTTCCTTGTGAAATTACTGTCTGACTGAACCCAGAGTTCACTGCACAGAAACCAATGTTTAAAGTTTGCATGTCTGTGCAAGTGACATTGCGTTCGTGAAAAAAATGAAAACACGTTGATTTGACTGAGTCACATGATCCTGTTCCACTTTGAAATCCGGTCATAAGATTCACATTCCACCATTACCTCCCCTCACACTAACACACTCAAACAAACAATGAAGAAACTGAATCCCAACCCCATCCAGGAAACATTTACTCAAGACATCATATCTGATGATAAACCAGTATATGAGTCAGTGTACAAGGGTTCAGAAAGAATAAATCAACAGGAGGTGGCATAGGTTAATGGCTGTGTATTCATCAGCTGGTTTTACAGATGATTACTGCATCGTATCCTTACAGTGGGGTAATGAGGCCAATTTTCATGCTCAAAGTCACAGGGCTGGCAAAGAGGAAAAAAGCCACAAAACAAGCTGAGCAATGAAAACATCTGAGACTGCCAAAAAGATAAGGCAACTTTTCTTGATAACATAACTCACACTAAACAACACAATCTGACCGCCTTTCCTTTTCTGCTGCCTTACTTCTTTCATTTTGCCCTCCTCAGTGTGCCCTCACTGCTCAATAGATTAGTTTAGGTGCTTTCCACATCCACACTGCTGAGTTTTGTTTCACAAACATTTAAAAGGAGAGGTTAGCTGCTACTCACCCAGAAAATGAAGTTGAAAAAGAAAAGTAGAAATTTGACACACTTCATGCCCCCTTCTACAGCCATGGTTGAAGAGAATCAATTTCCTGGATTAGAAAAGAGGTCAGACAAAGTTTATTACCTTTCATTCTATGTCAAGGCTGAATTATATGAAGGTTACATCAGCTGTAATATGAGCAGCAGGACAGAGGAAAATTTGACTTTTACAACACGAAACTGACTGATGCTAGTTTTAAGCTATACTTTAAAGCTATAAAGGCCTTTGTAAGAATTTTCATAACAAACATAGATCAGCAAATCGGGAATTTTCCCACTAACTACTTGTCTGAAGGTATTTTCCAGTCCAAGCGGTGGCACACATCCACCAACTGATGACAAATCAAAGTTTAAAAGGCCCTAAACGGGAAGGGCCGCCCTAGAAATTCATTAAAGTAAGTCAGGTTAAAGGTAAAAAACAAACAAAAAAACCAAACGTGTAGAACTGTATAATTTATACTACAGTGATAAAAGCTGCCGTTTTGAGGAACAAACGGAGCCCGTCGGTGTCTGTTCCGTACCGTTAATCACGGCTAGCAACAATACCAGCTTTGTCACAGGCCAAATTAGCTTCTATCAACCGCCGCGACCACATTATTGAATTTGTTAGTTTGACAACTAAGTTAAATCTTACATAAACACAAACGGCTGAACAGTTCAAGTAGTATAACCATCAAAGAAACGAAGTTATCTTCATTTTGACGACATTTGTGTGTGTATGTGAGTAAAGTACGACGGAGCCGTTAAACGATAGTTGTTTTTTTTTTTTTGAAAGTTAAGTTAACGGACGAAAAACTGTTAGCAAAACGTGAAAGAGGTTATTTCAGCGGTTTTTTGGTACCTACCTGTGTGAAGAAGTCTCTTAAATTTTGCGGTAAGGGGAGAAGACGACGATGCGATGAAGTTTCAGACTAACTTCAGCCGTTTGTGCTCACTCCTTCTGTGCCTTCTCTTCTCGAATCCAATTTTACTTGCTGCCTTCAGGACGCCTCGTGAAATAGACCACTCCTACCCTTCCTGTTATAACAACTGAGGGTGAGCGGTTAGGGTTAGGCTGTGGCGTAGGCATATAAACTAGTTGTGGTAAACTATCGTCAGGTTAAAATAAGAGGAAATCAATATCGACAATGATTACTTTATGTACGGTTTTCTAAATAGAATTTTTTCCCCCCAATTTTTAGATTAGCCCCCTAAATCCACCTTACCGCCAGTTCNCTCTCTCTCTCTCTCTCTCTCTCTCTCTCTCTCTCTCTGTGTGTGTGTGTGTGTGTGTGTGTGTGTAATTTATTTATTTTTTGGAAATAAACTTCTGTCCAGATCCTCCTGAATCCCTAACTAAATGGTCATAGTGCCTCAAATAAATTCAAAAGCACTCGGATATAAGTTGTACAGTTGCTTTATGAAGGGTGCCGTACTAGCAAGTGGTAGTTGTACATGTCCTGTGTCACTATATAATCTAAAGGTTGCAAAGCATTGATGTATCAAAAATCTAGTATGAAGACCTATATTCTTTTTGTTTCGATTTTGCTCACATTGTGCATATACACAAATAAAGTCATGTTAACCCTATTAGTAAGGTCAGTTAGTATCCTACAGCGCACAGCTCCTAGGTCTTTGGATATTTGGCCAAATAATGAATCTACCATGAAAAGTCTTATGTATGCACTTACTCATAACAACAGGACGTCAGATCATTTATGTCTGTTGCTGCTTACATTTACTCATCTCTTAAAAGCACAACATGTTGTAATGGAAAATAAAATAATATTGTTTCACAGGATATGACAAACAGAGCCAAAGGTCCATCTGTAACAAACCACATCATGTTTCCTCTTTTACTCAGTGAGGAACATCCTTTAACTGCTGAATAACTGCCTCATTGAGCAACATTTTCTCAGAATTCAAATGACACTGTGACCAGTGGTGGAAAGTTAAAGAATACATTTGTGCTACTTTATATTTCCACTCCACTAAATTTCAGATATGCAAACGACAGCATTTCAGATGTCTATGAGTTGTTAACAACGTCACCAAATAGTGATTTTTCCCTCTAAACTTCTCACGTGGATTCATTTTAATAAATGTTTAAATGATCCAAAAATTTGACAAAAAGTCTAAAAACTAAAAACAGATTTGTGTATCAGAACTTGGACACTGGAACTTCTTCTTTTGCCTCACATAGTCGCTTATAACCCCTCAAACATATATGCTGTCTGTATGTAAAATTGTATACCAAGTTGTTCAAACTAGTTCCTTCTGCAGCAGCTTCAACAGTAATACGCTGCTGACACACAGTATTAATAATATAATGATGTTATATATAATATTATATCAGTCAGGGGAAGCGAACCAGTACTTTAACTTAAATACTTTAACTACATTTTGCTGCCAATGTACTTTCACTAAAGTGGGATTTTTCATGTAGGACTTTTATATGTTATGGAGTATTTTTACACTGCTGTGTTGTTATGTTAGTACTATTATTGAAGTAAAAGATCTGAACACTTATTAAACCGCTGACTGCGACCACTCAATGTCACAACTGTTTAAAATAAGCATTCAGGTTGAGATAAGATGATAAATTAACACTGTGCTTTTCTTTTAAGCAGTGAAATCATTCTGACAAAGAATCAAAGAGACTGGCATCTAAGATTTAACAGAGTGAACTTGTCTCTAATATATGGTCATGTGCTTAAAGTCACAAGTCTTTATGAATGTTATGGAAGAATTGAAAGCTCACATTTTTCTTGCACGACATATTCAGGGATCTCTGACTCATTCTGCATGATTGTCACATTGCCACTGTTAAGGTGAAAGGAGTGGAGTATATCACTCACCTCAGCCGGCCTCAACGTGGCTTGTAAAACTTAAGGCACCACAGCATATCAAAAACAAACACAAGGATGACCTACATGCGGGAACAGACTATTATGAACTGCTAATATCAGCTTGACCTGGTTTATTGTCATATATTTTTGTAAAGAAGGAGAAGAAAAAGTAGAAGAAGAAGAAGACATAGTATGAACATATATGAGTGCTACACTTGGTCACTTTGAGGTATATTTAGTGCTGTTATTTAGGGCTCAGTTTAACCTTCACTACTCTCTAATTCTAACTTCTGCACTGCTGACTGTATTACTGCTGCACACAAGTTCAAAAGCTGTCACAAAGCTGGACCACGGTGACAACACAGCTGAAATGCAGTGTCATGTGGTTCAGCCGTTTGGCCGAAGACCGCGCCATACGCCACGTAGGCCAGTAGGTCAGACCTGTAGTTCAGCATGTAATAGGAGTCTGCATCTATGTCAGCAGCTCTGTGAGGCAGGACTGACTGTGATACTTTCAATTAAAGGTTAAATCAACATGCTAACATGCTCTAAAGGGATAATGTTTACATGCTGCGGTCAATCAAGTAACATGTTTGCCATGTTAATAATCTTAGTTCAGCATGTTTACATGTTAATATTTGCAAATTATCACGAGACACAAATGAAGTTAAGGCTTTGTTTATCAAAGCTGTCTTAATTTTTGTTTATTTTTATACTTCATCTCTAAATCTTTTTTTAGATTTAAATTTTAATGTTTTTGTACTGTTTGTCTTTGTTTTTGAAACATTTAATGCATTATGTAAAGCACTTTGATTTGCCTTTGTGTGTAAAAGTGCTAGAGAAATAAATCTACCTTGCTGATTGGGGTATCAGTTTTGCAGCCATTATTATTAATTCAAATAAAAGAAATAACCTAACACTAACTGAAATAGATATTACAGTTCATCCTAAAGGGAACACAAATGTCTGCACCAGGTTTCATGACAATCAAGTTGATTGTTGTGGATCAAATTGGGGGGGCCAACTGACATTACCATCTACAGGTGCAGGAATCACTGTCACAGCAGGTTTGGTCATCAAGCTGCTTGCTTTTCTTTTAAATTTTAAATAATAATCAGATGCAAAAAATGTTTTTGGCTTTCAGAGCACATCATTTTAAGTGCAAACATTCTGACTAGTAGCACAGGCATGTGCGTTACTTAAAACATCTGTAATGGTACAATCCAGACAAATGCAACAGTCTTAACAAGTTTTTGATTTAAGCACTACCAAGGTAGTTAACCAAAACACACAGTGTAGCAATATAGGTCTTGTTTAATCTAGTGAAACTCTCAGTGTGGATGCTCATCTGTCCACAAGAGGGTGCCACCTGTTTTCACTACGAATTGTTGTCTCTCCCCTGTTGACTTAAAACTTTTTTTGCCACAAAACACCCACATTTGTAATGAGCCCTAATACTTACAGCTGTCACTGTTTTTGTCATTTAAAATCACTGGTAAACCTTTTTTTATGTGAAGAGCTTATCCTTCTGCAGTATTCATATCTGTCAGCATATTTACTTACTCCACCGATGTCAAACAATAGTCTTTATTGTCTCTATATCATGTAACTATGACATCTGGTAAAAGAATACCCAGGAAATAAATGTAATATTCAACTATGTTCCTGAGTAACTGGTCTTGTAGCTTGTATTTTATCACATATTTTCTTTTTCTCATATCTTATGTAAATCACCTCAGTGCTGCACAAATAAACTGCCAACAGAGCTTATATCAGGGCAGAAGATTTGGACCTCCTCTGCCATCTGCCATAACTAGAACACCTCATTACAAATTTGAAATCTCGATCACACAGAGTGAGGTACACATGTATTTTTTATATTATTCTATTATTAGAAAATTTACACTGCGGCACTATGCTCTCCTAAATCTTGCCTTTCCTTTGGAGTGATCAAAAATCATTTATTTGCATGAGACTGGGAAAGGGTTACAGAGTCATCCCAAAGAACTAATGATTTTCACAGCAGTGCAGAAAAATGTGTCAGGGCTCATCTCAGTGGATGCACATGCTGTTTTGTGAGTATTATCCTGAAAAGCAGCCAATATCTGGTGCAAAAAAGCAGATCATGAATCCTGTTGCAGAGACAGAGTTGACATGAATGTAAGATGAACTGGATGAGATTTGATTGACGTGACAGCTGATATGTCTCTGAAGCAAAGATTTGTGGAGAGGCCATGGGCTGAATTACAGGTGAATACTGAAGAGGGAGTATCGTGACACTGAAAAGAAGCTTTTCCTGTGCATATAGTGTTAATGCTGAGACTTTTCACCGTGGCAAATGTGGTGTTTATCTTCCCATTCACTTGTGTTAGTTCATATATACTGTATTAATGCATTTCTGATTTGAGTAAAAGGTACAAGAGCAGCTGTGGCTATTTAGGTTGAGACCTTGTGCTGCAGCATTACATTTGCTGTTACACTCAGAATATTAATGAAACCACTCACAAAATCACTGTTCATTTTCCTTTATTCTTTCAAGTAGGTAAATGTAAGTGTAAAATGCTGCTCATCTCATTGCAGAGACAAAGAAGCACGATCATATCACTTTGTGCTAGCCTCAATAAACTGACTCCCTGTAAGATTTCCAATGGATTTTAAAATGTCATTGTTTACTTTGAAGTCGTTAAACAGCCATACTTCCTGTTCTGAGTTCTGCAGATGAAGCCCTGCTTCTTAATTCCAAGGCCACAGTCTGTGACCAAGTGATTGTCTCCATCTTAAATCTCTTTCTAAAACTTACTCCTAAAAATACTTTTTTTCCTCTGTGTGTCCTAAGTTCATTGTATTTTGTTTTGTCTGCTTTTATTTTCATTTAGGTTCGTTTAGTTTCACTATGCTAAATAAATGTTGTTATTATTATTATTATTATTATTATTATTATTATTATTATTATTATTATTATGTCTCCCAGCTACAACGTTGGGGGAGAGACGTTGAACGTAGAGCGACAATGACGACATTCCGTACGTCCTTGTGATTGGATGTAACTCATCGCAGTGACAAGAGGCGGAAGGGGCGGGACAAAACGTTAGATGAGGCTGTGGTAGAATTATCATGGCGGGATACATGAAAATGGTAAACGGTTACATCTCCACAAGTGCTAAATTGACGCTTTTAATGGTGCTCTTAATCTGTTTACCTCAAACCTCACACCAGCATACAGGTAAGAAGCAGTGTTACGAAGAAGGGACACTTACCTTAAGTTATTTAAGACGAATTTTAGACCAGTATTGCTCAGGCTAATTACTGCTAGCTTGTGTTTGAGGCAGTGAAACTGTACACAACTTAGTTTATATGAAGCCTTTATGGCACTTAAACAAATCCTTATAGCTCGTTTAGTGTCCGGTGTTCTTTGATTCTGTGTCTGTGTAAGACCAATTAAATATTATAGTTAATTTTGCAGTTGTAATGTTGCTGAGCAGAAATGTGTTAAACCCTATCGTTGGTCGGGTTTGCAAGCTGCCTCGCCCTCATGCCATCGCTAATTATTAATTATGAAAGCAATGCGCAACCGAAACTTGTTTTGTATCTGCAGAAACTTGTCCGATTTGAAGCTGCTAGTACACATAGCAGTCAGGGAGTGAAGACAGTGCTGATAACACATGCATATTTGCAACTCATAATTCCCACTGAACTTATGAGTAAGTAACAGTTTGAAAATGAAAGTGAAAGGTAGTGTCAAATGGCTTACTTAGTCCAAGAAAGTCATGAGAAAAGCAGCACATTTTTATACAATTGTGTGTACTGTTTCAATGTTGTCTTTTCTTGTATCACATGCCATTTATATAACCACACTACGACTATATTTTTTGATTACTTAGGAACAAAAAAAAAAGCCAAAAATTAACAAACAGGTAGTAATTTATTCCTCTGTGTCATAGAGCTTGTCCAGCATCTAAAACATTATTGTACTGTTGCTTCATTATGATGAGCATGGAGATGGTCCTATATACTCATATCAGTCACAACATTAAAACTGCCAGTCTAATATTGTGTAGGTCCCCTTCCTGCTGTCAGACAGCTCTGACTCATCGGACGATGGACACAGGACCCCTGTGGGTGTTCTTTAGTGTCTGGCACTGGGGCGTTGGTAGCAGATCCTTAGGGTCTTCATGGACCTGGTTTGTTCTGGCACATCTTGTGGATGCTCTGTCGGATTAGGATTTGGGTATTTTAGAGGGGCTATCAATGCTTTGGGCTCTTTGTTGTGTTCTTCGAATAATTCCAGAGCTGCTGCTTGGTTTGCAGCAATGTGTGCGTAGATGGTAACAGGCAAGCATCCATATGAATCCCAGTACCCAGGCAGAACATTGCATTGTAACAAAATCAGCTTTAGTGTTATTAACTTCACTCTCCAGTAGTTTTAATGTTGTTGCTAATGTAAGTACACATGAGAGCAAGAAATGTTCATTTTTTTGTGTTTCTCAAAATAGTCCCTAGTATGTGTTGTTACTCAACTGTTTAGTAGTGTCTGCTAACAGTTAAAAATGTCAAAAACATTTAAAAATAGAAACTATAAATACTCCACTTCAGTTGGAAATAGTGCATGCTGACCATAGATGAGTTAGGAAGAATTCCTGAGGGATTGACTAATGTCCAGTTTGTCTTTTATTAGAATCTATTGGCAATGCAAAAGAAAATTTAAAATCATGTCAGTGTTGTCCTGTAAATGCTTGTCTAAAATGAATGCTGCTGAAACAGTTGATTTTTTCTTTTAAATGTTTTCATGTCACAGGTTTATCTAACATCGTGCAGTCTTAGTATGACGTAAATTTCTCTGCTTCTCAGATCCAGGTAACAAATATTCAATTATCGATCTACGGGATGGAGAGGAGCTTGTCATGTCAGGTTCCAACCGGTTCTGTTACAAAAACTCTATATTGCCAACATGGAGACAAACATGGACAAGAATCCAGGTAAGTGTCATTACTGATGCCCAGCCAAACCCCCATTACTTACACTCAGTGTTAAATAATGAAAAAATGTTAAAAATGGTTTTATCCCTCTCAGCTGGAGTATCTAGAGGCTAAATTCTAGCAAATGTGGTTTATAGCTTGACATTGCATTGCAATAAATGTGTTAACAAAAGAGTGCCAAAAATGATATTTGTAATTAGATATCTATCTTACAGCCCTTAATTTCAACAGTTTTTTAAGGTGAAACTCAGTCATTGAGGTCAGTAATAACCAAAGATTTCTGACAGGTCAAAGTGTGGAGTTCAAAAGTGTTTAAATTGGAAACTGTGGAAGGTGAGGACGAGCTGCAGGAGCTGGATCGCTTCAGCTTCTGGGGCTGGTTTCAAAGCTTGTTACGCGAGAAGCACAATGAAACCACAATTAACATCAACCTGTTCAGCAAGAAGACGTGCTTCAAGGTTGATCCTACTGAAAAAACTCAGTACACTGTCAAGTCCCTTCGCAGTAAGTGGAAAGCAAATTAAGAAACGTAATATACTGGTTGTTGACAGATAATACAGTTTCATCACAAAGTTGTTCTTTTCTTGCAGAGTTTGATATCTATCTGTTTTTGGTATTCCTCGCTGGAACATTGCTGTTTGTCTTTGCAGACTCACTCAGCAGGTATTTTTTTGTTGTATTATATATTGTTCCATTGTCATATTTAACAAGATTCTGTTAGTTCTAATTATATTACTTTTTATATATTTCTTCTGTCCCCTGTATGAAGGAGTCAAGTTTTCTTCTACTCTGCTGGCATGAGCACAGGCATGATTGCCTCTCTCATCATCCTCTTTTTCATTCTGGCGCGCTTTTTGCCAAGGGTAAGGTATTTAATTTGCCTCAAATATCCAATATTTTATATATTAAATCTCTTGAATCTAATGCTTGATATTTGCATTTTGTGTTTGTCATTTAAACAGAAAAGCCCCTTTTATGTATTGATAGTTGGTGGTTGGTCATTCTCTGTGTACGCCATCCAGCTTGTCTGCAGGAACCTCGGCATTATACTGCGAGAGCACTGGCACGCAGCATTAGGTACAGACTCTTCATGAACGCATGGTTCTGCTGCTTTCTTTTGGCTTCTATGATAAGAACTGAGTGTCTTCAGGTTTTGGACTGCCTTTTAATAACACATTTAAAGGGTATTTTCACTATTTTTTTTATATTTGTTTTGTCATAATATTTCACATTTTGGAGAAAAAATGATAATCACTTATTTAGGAAATAATATGACAGATGAAAAGTTAATGAAAATTAATACAAAGTGAACCATCCCCGTAATTTGTCACCTTGAGATTTTAAACATTAAATATTTGGATGAACAGTGTCTGTTAGTCTTGTCAGCATAGATCAGTCTACTGACTAAACTCATGAGTGTCTTTGTTTAGTATACCCCTTTTATAGGTCTGCATGCTTAAATCTCAATATAATGCAACATTTGCCTCATTTAGAACTTTCTGATTTCAATCTCTAAGGACCAAACCATAACCTGCATGAGGAGCTGGAAGTCAGAACCATCATGTGTAATACAAACACAAGCTTTTGCAGAAACTGTAAATAGGTGTAACCATGGAGCCTTTGTGTTGCATAGTGGTGGTCTGAATTAGTTACAATGTGTAAAATCAATATTTTTCTTCTTCTGCTTTTCCTTCAGGTTATGTAGGGGTGGTGGGATTCATCAGTTTTGCTGTGTGTTACCGTTACGGTCCTCTGGTGGATGAGAAGAGCATTAACATCCTGTCGTGGACGCTGCAGCTGTTTGGTCTGCTCCTGGTTTATTTAGGAATTCAGATTCAGCAAGTTGCCATCGCTATCATTATAGCAGCTTTGGTCTCCAAAAATCTGGAGTACCCGATCACAATGGCAGTTTCTGCATGGAGGTATGTTTTTTCAAAATTCTGACAGAAGGTGGCGTAAGAGTATAGTGCTATGATGAAACTCGAAGTAAAGATACAGTCTGTGTTAGAACGTTTTCGGAATTATCAGTAGTCATATTAAGTTCTTATAATTAAAAAAATAAAATAAAAATTGAGTACTGGCTCTGTTATGCAGGAGAATCAGGAGGTTGGTGTACTGGAAGCCAGAGCCACGTCGCCTGTTGACTGAGGAAGAGTATCAGAAGCAGGGGGAGGAAGAGACTCGGCGAGCTCTGGAGGAGTTGCGGAAACAATGCACCAGCCCAGAGTTCAGCCCGTGGAAGACAGTGTCCAGGCTTCAGTCCCCAAAAAGGTAGTTATTGTAGTTTTTCTACTCATACATATATAATGTGTCCTTAACAGAAATAGAGAGAAATTGCTAAATGATGTTCAGTTGAAACTAGAAGTTTACATACACTGTATAAAAAAACTGAAACTTTTCCTGTTTGAGGTCAGTTAGGATTACCAAAATTATTTCTATTTGCTAAATTCTTGAATAATGAGGGAGAGAATTTTTTATTACTTTCTTCATAATCAGAAGTTTACATACACTAAGATGGCTATGCCTTCAAAACTATTTGGGAAAGCCCAGATGAGGATGTCATGCTTTAGAAGCTTTTGATCGGTTAATTGACAACATGTGAGTTAATTGGGGACACAATTGTGAATTGGCAGAATTGCAGACCTTCACAAGTCTGTCTTATCCTTGGGCGCAATTTCCAGATGCCTGAAGGTTCATCTGTTCAAACAATTATATGAAAGCCTGTGTCGGTACAGGACTCGTTTCACTGTGAATAATGACATTCTCTTACCAGCTTCAGCAGCATCTTCACAAGGTCTTTAGCTTTTGTTCTGGGGTTGATACACACATTTCACACCAAAACACTTCATCTCTGGGACACAGAGCCCGTCTCCTTCCTGAGCAGTATGACCTGGACATTCCCATGGTGTTTATGCTTGTGTATAATTGTTTAAACAGATAAACCTGGAACCTTCAGGCACCTGGAAATGGTACCCGAGGATGAACCAGACTTGTGGAGGTCCACAATTATCTTCCTGATATCTTGGCTGATTTCTTTAGATTTTCTATGTTGCCACAAAACGAAGCAGTGTGTTTGAGGTGTGCCTTAAAATACATCCACAGGTGTGCCTCCAATTAACTCACATGTTGTTAATTAACCTATCAAAAGCTTCCAAAGCCATGACATCATCATCTGGGCTTTCTCAAATAGTTTAAAGGCATAGTCATCTTAGTGTATGTAAACTTCTGACTTTAAAAAAAATAATAAAAAATTCTGTCTCTCATTATTCTGACATTTAGTAAATAGAAATAATTTTGGTAATCCTAACTGACCTAAAACAGGAAAAGTTTAGTCTGATTTAATGTCAGTGAGAAAAGAAAGGTTTTATGCCTTTTTATACAGTGTATGTAAACTTCTGGTTTCAACTGTGTATAACATGTTGTTAATATTGTCACAATAACCCACAGGTTTGCTGATTTTATCGAAGGATCACCTCACTTGATGCCAAACGAGGTGTCTGTCCACGCACAGGAATATGGTTGTGGAGGGTCATTTTTTGAGGATGAATTTTTTGACACGGACGACGAAGAAGAAGAAGATCTTAAATCAATGATGACGAAACCACAATGAGATGCCACAATGTTGGAGTGGAGACGTGTAATAACAGTGATTATTGCCTTTCAGAAAGGTGGTGGGAAAAGAGCTTTCCATGGCTGTCCCCACTGACTTTAAGGGATTAGTGTGGGGGCTGGATCGAGAAACTCCCTGGATTGAATTCCAGGATCACAAGAGCCATTTTGTGTGTTTCCAATGAAAACAAACAAACAGAAAAGCCCACTGAAAATCACAGGCACAACAATGAGGTCAGATTTGTTACAAATGGCTAAGACATGTGTTGTTGAAAAAAGTGCACTGACGCAAGATCTCCTTTTTTTTCAAAGGGAACAGAGGCTTCTTTTACAAAAGACTCTGATCACGACAAGTTGATCACTTTGTGTTGTATTTACTTGTAGCTTAGAAAAGGGTTTAGTTTTTTAAAAATATGTTGCGTTTACAGCCTCTCGACAGTAACTGAGCTCACTGCATTGAGTGCATCCAGAGTACATGTTTGTACATCACTGTGATAAGTTTTCACCTCTCTGAACAGCAGCTTCATACAGGGGTAGTTATTGTTTTAACTTTCTGCTTGGGGAGGAACAAATTGTTAGGTCACATTTCTTTTTCTTTTGTTGCATCAATTTTAGTAGACACATCACTGGAAGTGTCAAAAAATATTTTGAATAAAAATATGTATATTTTTGAGCTTGAGCAGCCTGGGGGTGGTATCATTGTTTAAGGTATTTGAGCTAAAAGATTGTAAGGTGTTCATGAATGTCAGCATGATTTTGGTTTATCAAGTCATGCACATGAAGTTGAAAGACTGAGATGTTATTTTTTGTAATGGGTGACTAAAGCTTTTACTAAAATAAGATTTCTTCCTCAAGTATTGTACCCAAGTATAATTTGAGTATTTCCATTCTATGTTACTTGTCCACTGCATAAAGAAACAAATATTGTACTTTTTGCTCCACCAAATTTATATTCGTAACTTTGAAGATAAAGGTTAAACATGCCAAATTAATGAGAAATGTATGAAATATGATGTATTGTTACAGATAAAACCCTTAAGCCCAAAGCTATTATTTGAAACCCCCCCCCCCCCTTCCAAAAATCGCCCAATTCAGTCAGTAACAGCTGCACAACTGTAAGACCTAAATGAACAACCTTGGGCTTTACTGTACTTGAGAGAATTCTGAAATACATGCTACTTCACCTAATCACCAATCCACTGTAAGATTTGGAAAAAAAACTCAAAAATGTACATGTATTTGATCACGCTCTAAAAATTATATCCCAAATTTGATGCAACTGAAATTTAGCACAATAATTGTGAAATCCATTTTTGCCCTGACCGAACGAGACGGGCTCATCAGTGAATGTGACACGTTTGGCAAGCTTTGAAAAACGATGCTGGTTGTTCTTACTAACAGATACGTAGCCGAAGGGGTTAAACTGTTGTGGCAGTCTATGACATGTCAGAAAATGGTGGAAAATGCCCATCACAAGTTTCCACAGTCGAAGGTAAATTCTTCAAAATTTCATAAGTATTTAGCGTACAATGACGCAAAACAGTAAATCAGATAATCCCTTCTTTTGGGAAGGTGACAAGAACAAGTTGAGGGGCTTTTTTCCTGGATAAATGATTCACTGAGTTATCAAAAATGCTTTACTGTATGTCTTTTATTAATTTGTCTTTTCCTCAGTTATCTAGAATCTCGTGTGAAACAGCATGGTGCTTTGAAAAGCCCCAAATAACTGAAGTGAGTTTTCCAACCTTTGTTGACTCTGTTACAACCTTTAACCTGTTAAAATATCACTTTACCATCTAAGAATTTGTTGCTCGGCTTCAAAGTAGAAAGGTCTGACCTTTTGTCATATCTGCACATTGCTTTTGACATCTCATCATTTCATGTGAATCGATAAGTTAAACCAAAAGTGATGACTGGAATACAATTTAACAGAATGTATTGAATTGAGTCACTCTTTTAAATATACAGCTTTTACCTAGTACCTTTTGTCAGAGTTTACTGATCACTACTGAAGTGAAAGTGGAAGCAGAACAGGAAAAAACTGCAGTAGAGGATCTAATTTGCTGCTAAAGCCAGATGGCGTTATCTTTAATCAGGCAGCTTACAGAGTATGTTGGAGAAAAAAAACCCATTGTATTCATCCTTTCTCTCCCACTCGCTAGTTTCAGTGAGCCATATCTGATGGCCTAGGGACATGGTGACATTTAAACCCAGCTATCCTGCATCCCACCACTGGATTTTTTATATCGTGTGTCTGTCCATGCAGCATTTGAAGGCAGGAAACAACACAGTAAAACAAATCATTACGCGGGTAGATCGGCTGATGCAGCTGCCATTATTTGCATGTGTTTCCCCGGATCTGGTCAGCAGTGTAATCAATTCACATGCAGCTGTATTTCCTTTGAGTTACTTCCCTAAAACGCACTTCACAAAACATGAAAACCTCACTGCAATGCAAACGCACTACAATATATGCAGAAGGGGGGAGAATCCCTTCAATATATAAGCATATTGCAAACACTGTAACAGCCCCGTCATGGTGACTTCATGTGAGGTGTCTGGACTTCCCCACAACATGCAAACTGGAATGCATGCTATTAACTGATTCCTAGAAACCACTGTACTACAGGATTCTGCAGTTACAGTGGATACGAAAAGTATTCAGACCCCTTTAAATTTTTCACTCCTTTTTATATTGTAGCCATTTGCTAAAATCATGTAGGGTTCACTTTTTCCTCCGTAATGTACACACAACACCCCATATTGACAGAAAAACATAAAATTGTAGACACTTTTGCAGATTTATTAAAAAAGAAAAACAGAAATATCACAGCCATTAGTCTTCTTGGGAATGATGCAACAAGTTTTTCACACCTGGATTTGGGGATCTTCTGCCATTCCTCCTTGCAGGTCCTCTTCAGTTCTGTCAGGTTGGATGGTGAATGTTGGCAGACAGCCATTCTCAGGTCTCTCCAGGGATGCTCAATTGGGTTTAAGTCAGGGCTCTGGCCGGGCCATTCAAGAACAGTCACGGAATTGTTCCGAAGCCACTCTGTCGTTGTTTTAGCCGTGTGCTTAGGGTCATTGTGTTGTTGGAAGGTGAACCTTCGGCCCAGTCTGAGGTCCTGAGCACTCTGGAAAAGGTTTTTGTCCAGGATATCTCTGTGCTTAGCCGTATTCATCTTTCCTTCAATTGCAACCAGTTGTCCTGGTACACCCCACGTATTAGGCAGGTGATGGGCAGTGCCTGGGTTTCTCCACACATACCGCTTAAAATTAAGGCCAAAAAGTTCAATCTTGCTCTCATTAGACCAGAGAATCTTATTTCTCATAATCTGGGAGTCCTTGATGTGTTTTTTCGCTAACTCTATGCAGGCTTTCATGTGTCTTGCACTGAGGAGAAGCTTCCATTGGACCACTCTGCCATAAAGCCCTGACTGGTGGAGGGCTGCAGCGATGGTTGACTTTCTGAAACTTTCTCCCATCTCCCCACTGCATCTCTGGAGCTCAGCCACAGTGATCTTTAGGTTCTTCTTTACCTCTCACACCAAGGCTCCTCTCCCCCGATTGCTCAGTTCGGCCGGACGGCCAGCTCTAGGAAGAGTTCTGGGAAGAGTCCTAAAAGTCTTCCATTTAAGGATAATGGACACCACTGTGCTCTTAGGATCCTTAAGTGCAGCAGAAATTCTTTTGTAACCTTGGCCAGATCTGTGCCTTGCCACAATTCTGTCTCTGAGCTCTTTGGGTAGTTCCTTCGGCCTCCTGATTCTCATTTGCTCTGACATGCACTGTCAGCTGTAAGGTCTTATATAGACAGTTGTGTGCCTTTCCTAATCAAGTCCAATCATTATATTTAAACACTCCAATGAAGGTGCAGAACCATCTCACGGATGATCAGAAGAAATGAACAGCACCTGAATTAAATATATACGAAAGTCATCGCAAAGGGGTCTGAATACTTATGGCCATGTGACATTTCAGTTTTTCTTTTTTAATAAATCTGCAAAAATGTTTACAAGTCTGTATTTTTCTGTCAATATGGGGTGCTGTGTGTACTGTCTGAATACTTTCCGTACCCACTGTATGTAACTGGAGCGAATGGTATGCAAATGACAGACGGCCATGGGTGCAAAAGACACCCACCTTTTAAATTAAATTTAAACAGTACATTACAGGGTTATGTGTATCATGGCAAAGTGTTTATTGTAGGCGTGTAAATGCATGTAAATCCTTCACAGTAAGTCAAGAAAAAAAGCATCAAAGAAACTATAAGTGTCCTTTGGGACATGAACCACACTGCCAAATTTATGGCAACAGCCAGACACTCTACAGACTTGCAGCCAGTGCAGTTTGTAACAGAAATATCTGAGACATAAAAGATGAATAAACATCACATTTCAAAGCAGTGCAGTTCAAACTTTGCTTTCGTCTTTGAAGTAAGAGCAAACTGTCTGGCTTTTACATTGGGAATGTCGGTAGAGAATAAATTTACTCTGATAAAACAGCAGTCGTGCATTTACTTTATCAGGCTGCAAGAAGGAAACAAAAGCGCCTTTTACTGAATCCTCCACATAGCCTGTAGACTTGAGACAAAACAACTGTTTTTTCTTCTCCACAACCTCTAAACAGCAGAAACAGAAAACTACAAGTCCAGTGTTGGTGTTTAAAATCCAGTGCTCAGTCAGTTCTGTCAGTATTTGTTGATCCCAAAAACCCGAACTCCGTGAAACTGAGGCAGCTTTGGGAGGAGGACGCTGAGGAGGGAGCTCGTGTTGATGAGGAAATGTGTCGGATCATATTTTGTGTAGAAACTAGCAAGAATATACCTGTAAAGAGAAAATCAATTTATTTAGGAGCTTTGACAAAAGTATTCAAGAGAAACACTAAATACATACAAAGTGAAAATAACAGTCCACAAGGAATTAATGAAGGTTTGAGGTTACATCACGCACTGCAAGTTTTAGCATGCCCAGCTACCTGTCCTACAAACTACAATAGTAATGCTAACAAGCTTGAGGACTTCATATCACATTACACTTTACCAAGTTTTGGAAAAAACTTAAAAGTTTCCTTATCATACTTACAATACTAGAACTAATGATGCACTGCAGTACAAGAGCAATGCTGTTTTGTTACGTGTCTTTAGCTGGTGAGGATGCTGAAACTCAATAGCATTAATATGATATTAAGTTTGTTTTAAAATATGTCTGCTGCAAACACTACATAGTCAGTTACATTGTTTTTAACCAAGTGTTGATGCGAGCAGGCACTGCTGAAATCTGTTAGAGACTACAGACATTTTAGTCGACAAAATCAAAAGTCTCAGGCTGGAAATCAGACTCCGACTTATGCCACCATCTCAAAACAAAGACCCATATTTAAAAAAAAAAAAAAAAAAAAAGTCCTTTAAAAGCAAAGCAGGCATTTAAAAAAACACAAAAACAATAAATTAAGTCATGTATTACCCAGATCAGTCAGCCTTTTTATTTACCATGGATTATGTTGATGTAAAAATATATATCCAAGCTCCTGCCCCTGTTCTTAAACCTCCTAAATAACTGCAGACACCTATAGAACGCATCATTTTCTTCTGTATGAGGTGTGTCAGAAAAGTTTCAGGACTGGTGTCACAAAACATATATTTCAAATCCAAACTATCGAAGTAATGCCCCTGGAGTCTAACACACTTTCCCAGCCTTCTATGCCACACCGCCATGCACTCCTGGAAGGATTCTTCCAGGTGCCTCCGCAGCTCCAGCCATCTTAAAGTCGTCCACATCTTCAAAATGGGTCCCCTTGATGACCCCCTTGAACTTGGGGAAGAGGAAAAAATCCCACAGAGCCAGGTGGGTGAGTAGGGAGGTTGCTCCAGCACAGCGATGTTCTTCTCAGCCATGAACTGTCGGATGCTCAGGGCACTGTGAGCAGG